TTCCTTTTGTAACGAAATGGCGAAACTCATCGCATCGTCGGCCATGCACGAAATGGTCATCAAAACTCTATCCCAATATCAAATTCGTTGTCCATAGATATAAGACTCCACAACCGCCATCCAATGCAACGTACTTTCCTCAACAGAAAAATTTCCCAGAATTAAATAATCATTCTAGAGTAAAATTACATTCTAAATTTTAAATTTTCATTCCATCTTAAAAAATGTCATTCCAATTTAAAAATTTTTCGTCTTACTTGAAAACTGTTATTCCAAAAATGGGGTATCCCTTCTTATTTGAACTGCATGCTAGAGATGGAATGAAAGTCTGGATGAGTTCATGAAATATTTTAATTGGACTGCCATTCTAAGTAAGGATTTCCAGTCATAAATAGGTTAATCCAATTTAAATTAGACGATATTTGTTGTAGTAGAATGAAAGTCTAATTAAAACATTTCATAAACTCGTCCAGACTTTCATTCCATCTTGAACAAATAGATGTAGTTGGAAGGGAAAACTCATATTTAGACGGGAACTCATCAAATTAAATTGAAAATTTTAGAATTGGACAAACATTGGAATGATAATTTATAAATATAAAGGATTTTTTTTTTATGGAATGTTTTTTCAACTTTCATTTCTCATGGAAATTTTTCTGTTGCTCTTTCTTACCTGTATAAGTCCATGTAATTTTGACTTTAATCTTATTACTTGGCCCCGCTCTTTCTTCTCACAGCACCCCCTTTCCTTTTCTATCTCCATCACCTCCATCCCCGTCTTCATCACCGCCTCCTCCTCCGTCGCTGCCTTGGACTATCTTTTCAATTACAGCTGGAGTGAAGGTCTGGGTAATGTGCTCGTCTAATTTTAGAAAATAGGACTTCATATGCTGATCAACATCTTTGGCAGATTTCTCTAGGAAGGTATTCCAAATGCCTTCAAACTCATATTGATGAGTTTCAACTTTCTGTAAAGTTTTATTTATAGATTCGACCTCTTATTTTGTATGCAAAACTGTTTCAGTCAAGAGAGCAAGTTTTTATTCCGTTACTACTTGCTTGTCTTTCTGCGCTTGTAGCTCGCTTTGTAGCTTTGCCCCTTCTGCTTGTAATTTTTTTTCTTTCATCTAATTCCTGCCTTTTTGCTGCTAACATCTTGAGATGCAGTTCTGCTTTTTTTTCTCCGAGGATAAAATCTTTTTCCTTTTGATCTGCAACAGAGGCCAACTTTGCAACGAAAGTATCTCGTTCTTCCTCCGTCTCAGTAATTTGATCACTGGTATAGGCATATTGGTCATACCAGTCCAATGGTTTGATGTTAAGTCCTTCTCCCATCCGGCTACTTTCTGGCCTATCAGATGTGACGCGCAACCTCACGCCCTGTGATGTCTTTCGTTCGGAGTGCTTGATGTGCGGAAAGAGGCCCTGAAAAAAAACAAGATGGGTGTGCCAAGGATTTTTGGAAATTGAGTGTGGGGACACAGATGAAACTAAAATCCCTCGTGTTGGTCCGATGAAGTAAGTCGGGTGCTTTCGCTCGTCGCGGAATGCGCGCGTGGACACGGCGCGAAAAGAGAAAAATCCAAATTCAATCCAAAAAGTATTGTCGAGCTTCCCACCGTGCTACAGCCCGTTGTTTAGAGCGGAAGGGCTTTGGCACGCTTCGCGTGTCTCGTTTTCGTACCAAATCCCGTAGTCGCTCACTGGTCAATTCTGAGTCTGATGAGGAGGGTCTCAACCGCGTGACTCTTTCCTTATGCTCGTCTTCACTCCGCATTCGGTAGTGGAAACCCTTTGCTTCGTAGCGATCGAAACGCTGGCACTCTGTGCACAGGGTTCGAGGCCAATGGGGCCACTGCCGTCCACGGAATGACGATCAGCTCGTTGAATGACAACAATATCGAGTAGGGTGGAAAGTGCGTGTCGATAATCACAAACCTAGCCTCTACGAACCCTGAACAACGGTTTGCCGGAGGGAAGTAGTATCGTCCGCCGAACTGTGCGACAACTTCTCGTACGTCCCACTCACATACACGCGTCCTTTCCTCGTTGTAAGGAAAAGGTTGTGTTGATAAGGGAGGTATGGGAGGCTGACGCCCAATCGAAGGGTGCTTGTCAGTCCACATGTCAATCAATTGCAAAAACTCCGGGACGTCATCAAGGAAAGGCAAGAAACGCTCGCGCAACCACCAATCAATCTTCTTAAATCACGAGAGAGAGAAAACACTCATCAATTGGGCCAGGTGCAGGGGTCGTGCAGTATAAGCCAGATGGCATGCGCAACGCACTCAGAATTACAGATGTAAACACTCTTGCATTCTCGGACAAGATCCCGACAACAATCGTCTAATCAACTCACTGTGGAAGGTGCGAAAATGAGATATGCAGGGAGATAAAAGATGGATCGCTGAATAGTACACACGCATCCACCGTTCACAAGACAAGAAGGCGGGGTTCTTGCATAGGGGGACTACCCAGGAAACTAATGGAAGAGTTCCGGAAGAAGTTCTTTCACATAGGAATAGTATAAAGACTCATTCCCATTAGAGAGAGAGGGACCTCGAGACGCATCATCATTCAAAGATAGAGGAGAGAGAGAGACGAGGGAGGAATGTCGAGATACAAGAGGATAAGATCCGAGAAGAGAAAGTTCGGCGTTGCCGCCGTACACTCACGCCATAGATAAAGATCCGCTACAACAAAGGCGCATTCGCTGTGAATTCCAATATGGCCCCAGGCCAATCACTCACTCAACTCCAATCATCGATCCTCATACCCGCACCGACGATCCCGGTCGCCTCGTGCTAATTCCCACCACTGTGATCGTCACCCCGCTAACGTAAACTCGACGCGGTTCGCCCAGATCCCACAGTCCGTCGTGGCGATCAAGCGCGCAACCGGCCAACCTATCGCCAGCCCGACAGGACTTTCCGACTCGCACCAAACACTCTGCCTAGTCACAGCTTCCCAGAAGCTGGCTCAGGAGTCAAGAACGTAAGAGAGATTTGCGGGCGCACTTGCGGAATTTATAGCAGCGAGGAGGGAGCCAGGGGAGGGAGAATGCAAGGGGAAAGTCGAAGTGTAAGAGGAGAAGCAGGAGGAGAAGACTTTGAGAAGGGCGCTTCACGGAAGCCATGTTGATGCTTCGAAACTCAAGATTAACCAATCAGACTCGTCGTGCGGTAGGCAGATCCTACCGTATCCCGCGTCTGATTGGTGGGCGAGAGTAATCGAAGGATCAACCGGACTTCACAAGCTTCGCTCGAAGGGCGAGAAAAGAAAAGGTGCGAGAAGTAGCGCAAGACGGGTCCAAGATTCAGATGATCAAGAAAGGGGAAATGGGCGCGCAAAGAGCTGAGCTGGGGAGAGAGAGAGGGAGAAAAACAGTTACGAGGAGAGAGAAAGAGGGGGAAGAAAAAAGGAGCGTGGGAGAGAGCGATGCGGCGGGGGGGGATTAGAGGAGAAAGCCTTGCATGTGTGGCGCCGTCAACAAAAAAGAGAAAAAGGCACCAAAAAAGTTACAGCTTGCCTACGTCCTAAACCAATTCAAAATTGAAATCACCATATCCACGCGCGAAAGAGCAACGCGGGAAAAGAAAGTCCTACGCCTATTCGTATTCTTGCAAAATTCCGAGAGTTTTCCCCGACGCGACCAAGAACATTCACACACAAAAAGGACACGTCAAAGTTTCGCTTATCCCGGAAATCCCAATTGYCGGACCCAATTCGCAGTGCGCTTGCTAAGGCGCACGTAAATTCCTAAGTATTTCCCGAATTGCAAAAGGAAAAGCCGAACCCGGGAATCGTAAAAGCTTCCGAAAGATGGGGGCCAAAAACGCGGCACCCGAAATCAAGAAAACGAAACGGGGTTTTTTATGGGGTTGATATGATACAAAAAGGAGGGGTACGAAAGATAGCACGGGTTCGGGAAGTAGTTCGTCACATATGTGACGCGCAGGGGGTTCCAAAATTATGCGATCTCCTGATTGCATGTTATGGCGGAGAAGGAGAGAGGGAGAGAGAGAACAGAGTGATGCATGAGGAACCAAGCGTATCAACAAACGATCCAGCCAGAGTTCATGTTGACGCCATCTTCAATTGCAATTTTCTCATGGTTCTGATGTTTCGTGCTGCTGGAATCATCGATGGTCGTCCAGGTGACGCTATCATCGTCCGCCGGTTCTCTGTGTGCTCCACACCCCAGTTCGTAGCTGCCCGTTGAATTAGATCGTAGATTGACGTCATCGTCGCTGGCGTGACCTTCGCGAAGCTTACTGACTCGTGCCGCTTTCCCCTGCGGGTCAGATGGAGAGAGGGG